GTGATATCATTTGAATTTCCCATTGCTCATAATTAAATTTTTTTCACGCTACAGATGAGGAGAGTGCTCCCCAACCAACGAAGAGAGCTCGGCTGGCGACTGATGTGACAGAGACTGCAAAAGATGGCACAGTATGGCATGAAGAACAGGTGGGAACGGGTCCACATTTCACCCCACCATCGCCATACAGCGCAGATGGAGAGCCAACAGCTAAAGCCAGGAGGTCAATCACAAGTCGCCTTCAGAGCTTCCTTTGTTTCATCACTCTGGACATGCTTGGCATCATTCGAGACCATCATTTCCAAAACATCATGCATCACCTGCGTTTTGATGACAGAGACACCCGCAGTGAGCGAGTACAGACTGATAGGTTTGCTGCAATTTCAAACATATGGGGATTGTTTGTCACCAACTGCATCACATCCTACATTCCTGGTCAAGACATCACTATTGACGAACAACTTTTCCCGTGCAAGACTCGCTGCTGTTTCCTACAGTACATTGCAACTAAACCAGACAAGTTTGGTATCAAGTTTTGGGTGGCGTGTGACTTGAAAACCAAATACGTCTGCAACATCCTCCCATATCTTGGCAAGGACCCCACTCGGCCTCGTGGGGAGAGAGTGTTTGAGAGTGTAGTTATGAGGTTGATGGAACCATTCTTGGACAAGGGCAGAAATGTTACCACAGACAATTTCTTTACATCACTGTCACTTGCAAAACGCCTATTCAGCCGGAACACAACCATCCTCGGCACAGTCAACAGGATTCGCCAAGAAATCCCACCGTCAACTCGACAGATGCACCGCAATGAATTTACCACCCAGGTATTTTCATCCACTGGTGCCACACTGACTGTGTATGCACCCAAGCGGAAGAAGACTGTGTATGTTCTCAGCAGCATGCACAGCACGATTGAGACAGGAGAAAACCACCAAAAAGAAGCCAAACACCATCACACTCTACAACACAACAAAGTGCGGCGTCGATGTCATGGACCAGATGGTGCGGGAATACACTGTCCGTGCAGCAACAAGGCGCTGGCCAGTAGCAGTGTTCTACAACATGATAGACATTGCAGCACTGAATGCCCACGTGCTCTATCAATTATGCACCGGGAGAAAGGAAAGACGGGTGGATTTCCTGTTTGAACTGGCAAGAGAGTTGGCTCACTCCCACATGGGTATGAAAAAGGCCCAAAAGGAGCAATTGCTTCGGCAACAACCCTCCACACCACAACTCGGACAAAGAACCAAGTGTCAGGCTAAAATCAAATGCAAGGACAATCGTGCAAAAGTGCGCTGTGAAAAGTGTTACAAATACACATGTGGGAAATGCCGAAAGGAGCAATGGCAGTGCCAGAATTGCTAGTGACTGCTCAAATGTATTTCACTCATTTGCATTCTTTGTAAATATGATTTTTTTCTTTGTAATTCCTTTTTCTTCTATTTTTGGCACACAAAAATAAGTTACTTATGCCACAACCTTCCACACGAAAACTGGGAAAACAGTTTCTTTTGCATTCATTGTAAATAGGTTTTGTTTTGTATTTTTTTAACAATAAATGTTTAGAGTTTTGATCCCAAATTCTCGTTGATCCTGATGATTCACTGCGTAAAAATCCACTAAAAACTATACTAAAAGCTTGCCTTTGCCAAGTTGAGCCTGTGTAGCCTCCCCACACAGGCTCAAGCGACTCTGTGACTCAAGTGACAGCTATGAGCTGCTAACAGCCACATTTCCACAACAAAAGGAGTGTCCGCAGGAGGTCCAAAGGGACAAATGACCCTCTTGTAGGGCTTTTAGGTAAAAAGGACAATTGACCCCTCCGTAGTAGTTCTAGTGTTAGATGATGTTGCCTTCTGTGCAGCATTTCTAAGCATGGTTCAAGTTATACTCCTTTCATGTTATGCTAATTAAAATTCACCAGACAAATGATCAAAACCCGGCTTAGATTGTTTCAGTGAAACATCTTTACAATATTGCTTATTGTAATTGTTTAAGATTACACTAATTGTCATGACTCTAGACTTTTTGGTTCTGTTTAAGTTTTCTTTTTGAGTTTTCAGTTATACTTTGTCTTTCTGTGTTTTTTAGTTTGTTGGTTTTATTTCAATTTTGTCTTATTCTAGTTGTTGTCGATTGAATTTAAGTTTTAGGTATTTCTTGTTTGCCCTCTGCTGCTCTTTTGTATCAGTCTCATTTTCCCTAGCTCCCTTCTAGTTCCTTCTGTCCACAACTGCTCCCAATCTGCTGATTAGCCTGCTCTTTGTTCATTCTCCTATTTAAACACCTCATGTTCAGTCACTCTTTGCTGGAACTTGTTGTTTTGTTGCTCCTTCGTCTTCTTGCTCCCCTTGTGTGTTTTCCCTGAGTTTTTTTTTTTTATTTATTTTAGTACTTTCGGGTAGTTGCCCCTGTTTGCCTCTGGAACTTTATTAAATCTTCAAAACTCACCACTGCATTTGGATCCTCAAAAATCTCCATTTAACCTTGGCACTAATCTGTTTCCTTCTCTTACTTTTACATAGATGCTGATATTTTATACTTAGCTTTTGTTTAGAAAGTTATTTCTCAATGTGGGTCCTTTAAATTGCATACGTTATCTGTGGATTTACACTAATCTGTTTTTGATCATTCACTCACAGTTTTTTTCATTGTATATAATAATCTGGGGGTTCAGTTTAGTTATCAGTCCCATCCTGGTCCTGTCTGATGGTGGTTGACCCTTCAATCGGCCCATCATTGCCTATGGCCCCTTTCTTTGCCTCTCTGTGTCGTCTGAGGCAGATGGCGTCCTCTTACCACCTCAATGTCTGCATATCAGCAGCTTCACACCTTCCATACTTATTAAACCAAAGACTAAAAACCAGAGCTGTCAACTAACAAATAACACATACTTCTTTACGTTACTTAAGTGGAAATGTTGGCTATTTATACTTTTCTGGAGTAACTATTTTTTAGACTTTTAAACTTTATCCTTCTAATTCTTACATTTTAAAAATAGACTCATTAGTTTTGTTTCATTTAAGCTCATTTTCATTCTGGCCTGTTGGTATTAAAAAAAAATAATAATAATAAAAATCATCAAAATAATTAGTTTCATCCAGACAATTCATTTCTCTGTGGTTGGACTCGGTGCTGCCCCAACCTGTTGCTCATCACATACCAAAATAAATCGTTGTTAGAGTTATTGAATGACAATTATAAAATTAATATATGTGCATATGAAACATTGAAGAAATAAGATGCTACATTCTGTCCTGTGATTCAATTAGGAGGGTCATTCTAGACTTGCCAGCCAGAAGGCATTTACAGGGTCATAAACTTTTATGACCTGCCTCTCAGCCAGTTGGTCATTCTAGGGTCATAAAACCCACCCATCTGTTTCTGCTCTGTGAATAAAAGACTCCGCTGTTCTGTTGGGGGTCAGATTGGTGCTGGGATGTGAGCAGCAGCCTTTCTCATTCCTGCAGGAAAAGCTCTGTTTAAAAAATCCCTTTTTGCTTCAGATTCATTTTTGTCCTATATGAACTCACAATATTTTGAATCTAACAATCGTTTTTCAAGATGTTAAATTTAGCACTGTTACCATTAATTATAAAACTAAAACAATGAAGTCTAAGGAAGTTATCATCCAGAATTGTAGAAAAATGTTCCTTTATTGGGTTGAGCAGTAAAGCTTCTGGCCTTAACAGTTTTTCCTGCATTACTTTGACTTTTATACTTTAAGTAGTTTTAAAAATGTTGACCCCTCTGCTACAAATGACTCTGTGTTCCCTCTGTAGTGAGTTCCATCCGGTGTCTCTCCAAACCGTCCTTAGTTCATATTTTCTGACACAAACAAAAGTAACAACCAATATTATCACATCCTCTTTGTTAAGAGCATAAATGCTTGTCAGACAAAGAGGAGAAAGACAGACACACAAACTATATTACAGACAAACATCAGGGGCATTTTGCAATTCAACCCAATGGCTCGAGTTCCATTCTATTCAGTTTATTTCTATAGCTCCAATTCACATCATGTCATCTCAGGTCACTTTCCAGTTCAACCAGATCATCCAGTCAGATTGATTCAAATTTTCTATCTAAGGAAAACCAGCTGATTGCATCGACTCATTGACTCTTCAGCAATCCCTCACACTAAGCATGCTTGTAGCGACAGTGGAGAGGAAAAACTCCCTTTGAACAGGAAGAAACCTCCAGCAGAACCAGGCTCAGTGTGAGCGGCCATCTGCTGAGGCCCACTGGGGTTCAAGGAGACAAGAGCAGACATAGAAAAAGAAGCATAGATACAAAAGGCAACTGTCAACCAGCTCCACAGGCGGCCCCGTCCAGGAAACACACGTTAGCCCTGGTTGCTACAGATGGGCTGGGTTACCCTCGGAGCTCCATTGGTTGCCGCGTTCTTCTCGACTTTGGAAAAAAAAAAAAAAGTTTATTCCGCACTAAATCAGTCAATGTTCCATATAGTGACGCTTAAAGTATAAAAACATACTTTTATAGAACAACAGAAAAGAAAACTTTTAACTTAATACTCGGAGCTCTGTGAGCGCTAACCTGGAAGCTGCTGCTGCCGCAGTGCATGCTGGGACAGCTGTCAGTCTGGAGAACGGACAGGTCTGCTGTGATGCATGCTGGGTAAAGAGGGAGGGGCCAGAACAACATCCGGGTACTTTGTCCGTTCTATAACAGTACTAGAGCTGAGGCTGATGACGTTTCACGAGGACGCACAAGCACTCATATTGAGAAACTGAATGAGTTTACTGAAGACAACCTGCTGCTGACCAGGTTAGCTGTGGGGAAAATGTTACCATGGCAACAGAAACAGAGGTTGAGGGAAATCACTTTGTGAAAAATCCCAAAGTTTTTAGTAAACTTGCTTGTGAAACAGAACCCAAACGCTTTTTTTTTTATGGTCAATCAAGCTTCCATTGTGGCAAAATTTCATTATTTTATAACTGAACCGTCTTCAATTTAACTTTTTTATGTAACAGAAAGCCTTGGAGGATTCCTGCTGGACGACTCCCGATGAAATGTGTGCAAACACCGAGGAGATGGACCCGCCGTGTGATCCGAAGGACGTCTCGTTTCAGATAAACATGAACGCCGATCTTCCTCCCGGGATCAACTTCCCCAGAGTGGACCTCCACAGCCTGATCCTCGACTTCTCCGCTGTTTCCTTTCTGGACATTTCTGCGATGAAGGGACTCAAAACGGTAAAACGACAAATCAAACAGTAATCTATCAAAGAGATGATCCACTAGTAGTCGTCCTAGGAGTCACTATCCAATATAATCTACCGTTGCTTCTCTCTACAGGCACTTAAGGAGTTTATCAGAATTGATGTGGATGTTTACATAGTTTCATGTGATGGTGAGTTGATCATCTCTTCAACGGTTTTTCTCGCTGTCTTTATGGTTAAATGTGGACAGTCACGTTATATCTCTAAACAAATAAGACTAGAAACTATTGGTTCTTAATAAAACGAGGTTAAATGAGCCAAGTTTCCATCCTGATACTGTTTAGATTGACCTTTTTGTGCCTAAATAGAATTCCAGCACCGAGCACGATGAGCTAACACAAACAGGGTAGCGCCATCTGCTGGCAGTGGTACTAAACTATGAGAGCAGTAGGTGGCGATTACTTAATAGAGCTTAACTGTTTTATTGTTTTATTTATCAGCATCTAAAGGTTTTTTTAGTCTTTTTGCTGTATGCATATAATGGGGACCTCTAAAATGAAAGAGCAGGGGAACATATTGAAGAGAGCGATGGAAGCGATGAAGTTTTCCAGAACTTTTATGGTTTAAGATGGAAATCGGTTTATAATCCGTGGCTGAAGTCATAATTCCAACTTCCTGCTAAAATGTAGAAACTAATGATGTAGTTACTGATGTTCTACCATCAGCCCTGATCCTGGAGAAGCTGCACAGCTGCATGTTCTTTGACGATGAGATTCAGACATCCATGTTCTTCCCAACCCTGCATGACGCCATGCTGCATGTGTTGGAAAAATTCAAGGACAACAGAACCGTTGATGTGGTAAGAAAAAAAGTTACAATTTAAAATGACAGCAAACTGCCTCCTTAGAGAATAAAATCTAGTTAAATTATCCAACCAGAAGGAATCCTTTACTTGATGAGCAGTGAGCAGAGAGATGATGGGAGAACGCTGCACTGAAGCATCAAACCTCAATAAAATGTCTTCGTATTGCTAAAAATGTTCCTACCTTGAAAGCAAGATGGATTCAAGATGTGGAATTCAAATTTAACTACATGAATTAGTCTGTTTGACAACAAGTTGAAAATTTAGAGCCTGACCTGCATCTTTGAGGGTTTTCCTTTTTCCATGTGGTGACTGTAGAGAAACATTTAACCTTGGATGCTTAGAAGTATTTAAAATGGAATCATTCTTCCTGGGACCTTAGCTTGATGCTTTATTATCCGGGGTCCGGTGGCGGAGGACATCGTCCCTCCATTGTGTCCTGGTCCTTCCACCAGGCCTCCTCCCAATGGGACATGCCTGAAACACCTCCTGAAGGAGGCGACCAGGAGGCATCAGGAACAGATGCCAGAACCTCCTCAGCAGGTTCCTTTCCACGTGGAGAAGCAGAGACTCTACTCCGAGCTCCTCCCTGGTAACTGAGCTCCTCACCCCATCTGGAAGGCTGCGCCCAGCCACCCTGCGAAGGAAACTCATTTCAGCCGCTTGTATTCGTGATCTTGTCCTTTGGGTCGTTACCCAGATCTCCTGACCATAGGTGAGGGTGGGAACGTAGATCCATCGGTAAATCCAGAGCTTTGCCTCCCGACTCAGCTCCCTCTGCACCACGACAGTCCGATACAGCGACCGCATCACTGCCGACGCCGCAGTAATTTGATTTGACTCTGACTACTTTCCATTACCAGTGTTGGGCACAATACTTTGAAAAAGTAATTAGTTATAGTTACTAGTTACTTCTCCCAAAAAGTAACTGAGTTACTCCACAATAAAAGTAATTAGTAGTAAAAGTAACTATTGCGCTACTCGACGTAACACCGGCATTTCCATCTGGAAAGCGCTGTTTTGCTGCTGGAGTCCTCCTGACTCTCCACCCTCCCCTCTCTCATGACGCGCGCACGAGTCCTATCATGAAAAAAGGTTAATTGTGCGACCTGAGTAACGCGCAGTAACGGGGTGTCGGCAATTGTAACTGCGTTATAGTTACATGAAGAGTAATAATTTTGAATACTCGTTACTAAAAAAGGTAGCGGCGTTAGTAACTTTCAACGCCGTTACTCCCATCACTGTCCATTACTGTAAGTAAGGAGGAACGGACGCTGCCCAGATCAGAACAGGGCTGATTACCGTGCAGTAAAGGCTGCATGATAAACTGTTCTCTCTTTGCAAAGATAAAAATAAAGTAATAAAGTGCCGACTGAGAGAAATCCATCGATCTCCGTTTATTTAACTGGGGTGAATAGTTCAATAGTTTTTTTTTCCAACTACATCTACTAAACTGGTTGCACTGGATTTTATTTAAAGGGATCAGAGTAAAAAAAATTCTTGAGTCTTTGCAGCGAACATCAACCTGCTGCTTTGTTTTCATTATCCTGTTTTCTCTGCAGCTCAAAGACACCAAACTGTAGAGGAACGACGGCTGGAACCAGGAACAATCCTCTCCTGGAGAAAACCAACAGATTTTATTCAATGCACCGTTTGATTGTTTGGATTCTTTTATTTCCTCCCAAACTGACTTTTCTGTTAAGTCTCACAAGCCTTGTTACACTGTTTGACATTTGTTTTCATGATTCACCTCAATAAAGATTAAATTTTAGTCCCTCACTGAGGAGTTGGAGGGTTTCTTCATTTAAAACCTGAGGAAAAGAATAAAGGAACCGAATAAAGGAATCGTCCTCCAGTATTATTAAAGCTGAGAAATTGTTTTAAAAAAAATAATAAATTTCAAGGTTAACTTTTTTTTTTACAAGTGAAACAGCCTTTAACTGTTCAACAGTGAAACAGTTCAGGAAAAAATGAACTGAACTCTTTTAAATGCTGCTTTTTGGAAAAAAACAAACAATTTAAGACTTGATTTGGAAAAGTCGTCACTGCCGACCGTAACAGATCTGAGTTCATAATGGAAAAAACGTCTGAAGTGGAAAAACCATCAAAGCAGCAAATATTAAACCAATAACTACTGCAGACATTATTGATGATATTATCAATAACATGGCTGTAAAGAATCAAAAGGAGAGATCTATTAGTGATTTATAGGGATTCTGAATATAAGTGCGTCAGCATTGACACTGTTTGTAAATAAATTCTGTTTTCAATATTTCTATGTAGGGAAATATGAGCCGTAAAATGCAATTTAAAAAATCCAGATATAAAAGGAATATTTCAATTACCTGGATACCAAAGCTTTTCTATAATTCCTACAAAATCAATAATATATGAGGTAAAATTTGTTGCATTATTGGTGCTAAAACCTCAATTTGTCCTGATGATGCTCATAACAGGCAGGTCATCAGAGGCCGATCAGGTCTGCATCTGCTGCCTTTGACTTTTTACAACCAATAAAGACTTTATTTAAAAGACAAATGGCAGAAAAGTTTTCCCACTTTAGGAATATTCAGCTTTATCATTTTGTTTTCTTTATGCTAAATTTGAAAGGAGCTTTAGGAGCTGAAGACTGTGACAAAGATAAACCATCATGATCAAATACCGAATCTGACTTTGGGAAACATGGATGCTGAAATACGCTGCAACAGTTTATGCTGTGAATTTGAAGTAGATCTTTTTCAAACAATATGGCTCCAAGGAAGAACGCGTCTGAGGATATGGAGGAACTAAGAAGAGCGATTTTTCCTAATTCCTAACCGAGGAGGTTTCCTCGGTCACAACGCAGCAAAAAGGAATATTGAGCTTAGTGGAGGAGATCAAGGCACTTTGTATTCAAAATGCAGAAAAGGACAAGAAAATCGAGCGACTACAAAGTCGGGTTGCAGAGCTGGAGCAACACGCGAGGTTAAACGAGGTAATTATCACAGGCCTCAGGGTGAAACCGCGTTCGTATGCTCGCGCTGTCACTGCAGACGAAGGAGAAACGAATATGGAGATGCAAGCGTCCACGGAGCAACAAGTTACTTCCTTTTTCCAATCTAAAGGAATTGAGCTGGACAATGGGAGTATCGAGGCTTGTTTTCCAATCACGAAGAGAAATGCCGGTGATAGGCAAGCCATCCTGATACGTTTTTGCAACAGAAAACACAAGACGGCACTGTTGAAAGAGGGGAGGAAATTGAAAGGAACCGATGTTTATGTAAATGAACATCTGACCAAGGAAAATGCGGAAATAGCCAAACAAGCGAGATTCATTAAAAAACTGAAGAAAATACAACAAACGTGGACTGTAAACGGCAAGATATTCATCAAGTTAAATGGGGCTCCGGAAGAGGCTAAAGTTGTTCAAGTAAGGAGTATGGAGGAGTTGAGAAAGTTTGAATGAGGAACGTCATGGGAGCTACCGTAAGGTAACGCAAAGACTACACCTACATGACAAGCATAAAAGAAGATTTGGCGGAGGCCAGTATGTCACACCTTCACAATTTACAGGACATTACGGAGTTAGGCTTACACCAATTTCAATACACTGAGCATACCCAACTAGATATGGAACAGGATATAGATCCCGACAACAACTTCTACACTCACATCAACAGTGACTGTCGTTACTACACCGACAAACAATACAATCAAGTAAAGCAGGACGGGAAATTATCAGTACTACACATTAACAGCAGAAGCCTGTATGCAAACTTTGTAAACATAAAGGACTATGTGTGTCAAGTTGTACATCCCTTTGATGTCATAGTAATAACAGAAACGTGGATAAACAACGAAAGCGGGGCGGATTTTGGGATGGAAGGATATGAGTTTGTGCATCTGAATCGAAACAATAAGACTGGTGGAGGTGTGGGATTTTTTGTGAAAAATGAGTTGAATGCTAAGATTGTTGACAAAATGACGGTATGTGTGGATGACTTACTGGAATGCGTCACAATTGAAATTGGTTTAGAAAAAATGAAGAATGCTGTTATCAGTTGTGTTTACAGAGCACCGGGAGGAAATGTTGAATTATTTACTGAATGGTTTGAGCACTTCTTTAATATGACACAGACGCTTCTATTCATCTGTGGAGATTTCAATATTAATCTCATGAATACAGGACATAGAAAGACGGAACAGTTCATGAATACAGTCTACAGTATGGGCCTATATCCAACCATTACCAGACCAACAAGAATAACTTCTCACAGTGCCGAGTTGATTGACAACATATTTACAAACTACACGGAAAATAGCACAGAAAGTGGTATATTAATTACAGACATATCTGACCATTTACCAATTTTTACATTATTTAATTGCAATTATAGAAGAAAGAAGCTTGCAATTAATGGGTTTAGATATAAAAGGATTAAAACAGAGGGAGCCATGATGGCTTTAAAACAGGATTTATTACATCAAAACTGGGAGCCTGTGTACATCGAAGAAAATGTAAATGCAGCCTATGAGAAATTTATGGATATGTTTAATATGTCGTACAATAAGCACTGCCCAGTAAAGAAATTTAAAGAAAGCATTAAACAGATAAATAGTCCATGGGTGACTGAGGGGTTGAGGAGGGAGTGTATGAAGAAGAACTCATTGTATAGACATTTTCTTAAAAAAGGACAGTGGAAGCAGAAGCAAAATACAAGAGGTACAAAAATAAATTAACTAATATATTGAGGTCTTGTAAGAGGGAGTACTACAATAAATTGCTGGAAGGAAATAAAAACAATGTTAAAGGTATATGGACTATCTTAAACAGTATTGTGAGAAAGGAGTCAAAGGGAACAAAATTACCGGAATATTTTACTGAAAAGGACAAAATTATAAAGGATATGACTGACGTTGCTAATGGTTTTAATAGGTTCTTTGTCAATGTTGGACCTGAGCTTGCGTCAAAAATATCAGAGACAAATACATCTGTCTGCGAAGACATGGGGGAAAGGAACCCATACACAATCTTTCTGGGTGCAGTGACTGAGACTGATGTTAGAGAAATAATACAAAACTGCAAAAATAAAACCTCTGCTGACTGGATGGAAATAGATATGAAAACTGTTAAGATTGTTATGGAAGAAATTATTAAACCACTAGCTTATATTTGTAACCTGTCCTTTCAAACAGGTACATTTCCAGACAAAATGAAAATAGCCAAAGTTATTCCACTGTTCAAAACCGGAAACAGACACCATTTTACAAACTATAGGCCAGTTTCTTTACTCCCTCAGTTTTCCAAAATAATTGAAAAACTATTTACCACTAAACTAGATATCTTTATG